TGTGGGGGTGGGGGGGCGCGGCCGCCGGCGGGTGGGGGGGGGGGGATGGTGCCCTCCCCCCTTTCCAAGCTGGCAAGCGGGACTCCAGAGAGGGGAGATGGGAAGCCGGAGACCTACCCCCAATCTCATACAGCGCCCCCTCCCAGAGTCCGAAACCCCGGGCAAGCCGCCATGCTGCCTCCCTCAGGCGCTGTGCCATGGTCTGCTGCCTGCGCTGCCACTGCTGCCTGCACGTCATTTCCACGCCCTTGGGCTCCCGCATCTGCCTGGGGTGAGGTGAGGTGCTGGGTGCCCCTGAGCCACTCCTACCTACCCAGGGCCAGGCGGACGGTGCCGCAGGCCCAGGAAGTTGCCCCACTGCCTGTGGGTCCCTGACTCCACCCCCTGGGTTGTGGTCTTGCTGGGCACCCACCGGATGAAGCGTTTGTCCGACATGGCATAGGGCAGTGAGCGGAGGGGCTCCCGGGAGGTACGCAGCCACTCCATCTCCTGCTCCCAGAGCTCCTCGTCCTCCGGCTGGGGTCCTGGCCCCCCTGGGGTCCGGCCGGGCTGCGCTGACCACTGGTGAAACATCTGACAGTGCGGGGTGGGCTGAAGGTGGGGGCCTGGGTTCAATTTTTGCTCTCAGGAGGGATGAGGGACAAGGGGCGCCAGGCAGGGAGCTGCACGATCTTGGTGCTGATGTGCGCAGAAATGAAAAGAAAGAATCCACCTGGAGTAGGGATTGAAACCCAGTCAGTGCTGTCCCGAGGCCCAGTCCTCAGCCTTCCATCTATCAAATGGGGTGAAGGCCTACAGGGTGTCGGGAGATGGGGCGCCACAGGCTTTGGGGGTCACCCTTTAGAGGAACACAATTCCTGGTCGTCTTCATGTGCCCATTTGCTCTCTGGGAAGACACCTGGGCCCAACCCTCCAAAGTTCCTGGGATCCCGTCCCGTATCCTGCAGCGCCCCAGCCTTGGAGGCACTGGGGCCCCTTTCTGTCTTCCTTCTTGTGGCCCAGTGCCCCTGGCCCGCACCCACTTAGCTTCGCTCCTGGGAACCAGATGAGGAGACCCCAAAGGTGCTCTGGCAGCTGCTAAGCATTCCCCCACGCGGCCCTACCCTCCACCTCCCCTCTTCCTCTTCCTCTCACACTTCCTCCAGCTCACCTGGGGATGAGGGGGACCAAGCTCCTGGAGGAGCCCTCTGCTGAGGCCAGCTGCTGCCAAGCCAGGCGGGACTGTGAGCGAGCTACGGTGCGGTCACTCACGTGACAGGAACCCCGGCCTACCCCGAAGTTTCCTCTGTTCTGAGGCCCAGCAGCACTTCCTGCGGGCTGTGGGCACCGGGGCGCAGGTGGGAGGCGTACGCCTGGTAGTCTGCAAGCCTTGTGCGAGCTGGGTGGGGTCTACCTTCCCTCCCTCTGGTGTCCGGCGGAGGGCGGTGTGGCTGAGTCCCCAGGCCTGGCCCTGGCGGGGCTCTTATCTTTCTTCAGCAGGTCACCCCAGAGGGTACGATAGTGCCACATGGTCCCCATTGCACCAGCTGGCTGCTGGGTATATAAAGCCAGTTATTTCTGAACTTCCTGCCTCTGTGGCTGTCACCCTCTTCCATCCGGGCCCCATTAAAAGCATCTAAAAGGGGCTCCATGCGTGACATTTAGGAGCCATGCTGGCCTGTTCCTTGTCCTTGGACCCCCTGGGAGGCCTCGCAGGCTGGCCTCCCTGTTCCCTGTCGCCCTTCTTTAGGGGTGGGTCGTCCCAGCTCTGAATTCACCTGGAGTTTTTCTGCTCCCCTTTCACCATCCTCCTGGTTTCCAGAGCCCCCTCTGTGCCAGGCCCTAAATTTGGTGCTGGGCACACAGTGGGGTGAGGGGCCAGGAGACAGATTCACCGTGCAGGTGTCAGCAGAAGTGCCACATGCTGTAATGGAAGAGGTGGTTTTCAGGTTGGGCTGGGGTGAGTCCAGCGTGGGGTGCACAGACGGGGACTGTGCAAGGGGCCCGAGGGGTGGCAGGGGCTGGGTAGGGTACTGAGAAGCAGCCTAGGGTCCCCAATTTAAGGACGTACTGAGGGCTGTAGAGGCCAGCTCCTCCACGCACGTCTCTGTCTCTATGTCCTGTCTCGGGTCCTGCCTCCCCTCTGGCTCCTCCTCAGTCTTGCTGCCTGTCTCAGGGGCCACCCCCTCCTCAGGTCCTTGGGGACACGGGAGTCTCAAAGTAGAAACCCTTGCAGAGCTGTCAGGAGGCAAAGACTCACGCCCTGGCCGGTGGCCCCTGGAGGGAGAGGCACCTCCGGGCCTCGGTTTTTCCACCTGTTAAACAGGATGGGTTCCTTTCTCCTGGCTGGCTGGAGGGGAGCCCTTGGGGACATTTGCAAAGCCTGTCTGCCTCCTTGGCGCCCCTCCTCGCCATCTGGCAAGCAGGAAGCGCTGAACCGGTGCGAGATAAACAAGCCCGAAGTGTGCCTCGGGAGGGGGAGATGACCGCGTGGCAGACTTGGGCTGGGCCTGCGGAGAGGCTGACAGCTGGGGGCGCTCACAGCCGGACCAATATTTGACAGCCCCGAACCCGGGAAGTGGCTGCGCCCTTTTGAAACGGGGGGAAACCGAGTCTCACAAACCCTCCACGAGAGACCGCACCGAGCCGGCCACTCGGCCATCC